CCCATCCCATCCCATCCCAGTGCATCCCATCTCATCCCATCCCATCCCAATCCCATGCCATCCCATCCCCATCCCACCCCATCCCATCCCAGTCCCAGTCCCAGTCCCATTCCCAATCCCATCCCATCCCCTCCCATCCCTTACACGGCCCCCATCAGTGCTGCTTCTTCTGGCTTTAATTGTACCCGGCATTAATTATAACCTCAGCCAATGGGGGTCCCCCCCGATTTGGGGTGCCCATGGCAGCAGCACCCCCCCCATTTGCCCCTCCACAGGTTTGGGGTCCCCATGGTGGCAGCACCCTTGTCCCCAGGGGTGGGTGGGCTCCCCGGGGGTCACCCCCCGGAGCCCCCCAGCCAGCCCCGGCCGGGTGCTGGTTGTCCCCGCGGCACCAGCATCCTGCCCATTTGCACCCCAGATTTGGGCTCCCCATTGCAGCAGCGTCCGTCCTGCTCCCGCCCCTCCTCAGACCCAGATTTGGGGTCCCTGTTGCTTGTCCCACCACCCCCTTTTCTTCTACAGATTTGGGGTCCCCCTTTGCACCAGCACCCACCTCACAGCCCCGGCCGGGTGCTGGTTGTCCCCGCGGCACCAGCATCCTGCCCATTTGCACCCCAGATTTGGGCTCCCCATTGCAGCAGCGTCCGTCCTGCTCCCGCCCCTCCTCAGACCCAGATTTGGGGTCCCTGTTGCTTGTCCCACCACCCCCTTTTCTTCTACAGATTTGGGGTCCCCCTTTGCACCAGCACCCACCTCACCCCGTCCTATTTCTCCCCCCAATTCGGGCTCCCCGTGGCACCAGCACCCTTCCCATGGCTCAGGGCACCTCCACCGCTGGTTCCCTCACCCCCGTCCCGTCCCCCCCAGGCTTCATGCGGGAGGAGATGGCGCAGCGGGAGGAGGCTGAGCTGCGCCAGAGCCACCAGAAACCACGTAGCCCCGAGGGCTGGGGGTTGCTGCTGGCCCTCTGGTACCTGGCCTTCTACAAGCCCATCATCACCGAGGCTCACCTGAGGAGGAAGAACATTAAGTTCATCTTCATCCGCTTCAGCGCCTGGCAGTATGCCGGCTGCGACAAGCTCTGGGCTGGTTTGGTCACCACCCTCTGCGACAGCATCCGCCACCATTTTGGGGCTCTGCCCCTCAGCGTCTACCATGTCATGGGCACCCGGCCCCGCTTTGCCTCCGGCTTCAGCCAGAAGGAGTGGGTCCTCAAGACAGGCACCTGCCTCAAGCTCTGGGGGATGCTCTTCGTCCTGGGCGCCGGCCTCACCGTCCTGCTGGTGGCCCTCTTGGTGCCTGGCATCAAGGACCACCATGCCTTGAAGGTGGTGGGCAGTGCCGTCACCTCGCTCTCAGGTTCCGGTCTGGTGCTGGGAGCCTTCTCCATCCTGAAGAACCTGTTGGTCAGCGAGAAGCAGAAGATCGAGCGGTTGACCAACAGTGATAGGTTCGCCAGCCAGCTGGGATTCATGAGCAAGGTGCGCCATGAGGTGGAGGTGCTGGTTGACTTTTTGGCCTTCATGGAGATCTTTGAGCGCCGACGTCTCCGCGTGGTGCTGGAGATCACCAGCCTGGACATCTGTTACCCAGAGAAGGTGGCTGGCGTCCTCAATGCCATGAACACCTTGCTGTCCAATGCCAACACCCCCTTCATCTTCATCCTGGCCGTGGATCCCAGCATCATCGTCCCCTGCCTGGAGCAGACCGGGTGCATGAAGGGTCTTGCTGACAATGGTTACCTCTACCTCAACCGGACGGTGACGTTGCCCTTCTCCATCCCCGAGATGGGTGCCCGCTCCCGCCTGCGATGCCTAGAAGCCGCTGTCCAGACGCGGGAGGATCTCATGTACCGGATCATCACCGCCAACGTAGAACGACGCCGAGCCAAATGCCAGGGCGTCCCGGCTGTTCACAGCCGGCGGGAAGTGGACGCTGAAGCCGTCCGCTGCATCCACGAAGCTTTCCACTGCCTCCACGATGGCAGCGACCCTCTCACCCGGTACCTCCCCACCAATGGCGCCCATGTCCGCCGCATCGTCAACACCATCCCCATCACCCTACGGCTCCTCTTGCACCGTGTTGGCACCCCTGGCACCCCCTCGCCCCGCGCCGCTGCCGCTTGGGTGGTGCTGGCTGACCAGTGGCCGTGCCGGTTGAGCTGGGCACTGCAGTGCCTGGAGGATGCTTGGCAGAGCCGGTCGGCACCGGATTTCGGCACACGATCCCTGTGGAGCATCTTCCAGGAGAACGTGGGGGAGCTGAGCGCCCTGCGGCAGCCCCTGCACAACGTCCTCAGCCTGGACGGGGACCCTGAGCTCTTCCAGACCTTCCTCGCCCACGACTTCCCTTTCACTGCCCGCGATGCCCGTGCCTTCCTCGGCGTCACTGTCAACCTGGACCACTCCATCCGGCACAAGATGGGGCTCCTGCGTGGCCTTGACCGCCTGCAGAAAGCTGCCTCCATCCCGGTGTCCCGCAGTGTCCAGTGTCCCCACCCCGAGTGAAGGTGATGCTGGCATCGGGTTGCCAGATGATGCCTCTGGACATGGGGGCCCCAAATAAGTTTGGACATTGTGACAGCGGGGTGTCACTGTGGCTGGTGGCCTGAGGATGCTGGTGACTCATTGTCCTCCCCCGGCATCTTTCAGGACCTGGCTGGGGACAATTCCTGCCCCCAAGAAGAGGCACTGCAGGGGGTGAAAATGCCACCAGGGGATGGAATTGGGGGCAACTGGGAGAGACTGGGGAAGGCATGAGATGGCCCAGGGCTTTGGGGGGTGGCGAGTTGCTGCCACCCCAGGGACCCCGGTATCCAGATGACCTCAACCTCCCCCATGCCAGGGACCGCCCCCCACACTGCTGCCACCCCCAACTCCCTTTCGAGACCACCTGGTGAGTGGGTCCCTGGGGGGCAAAGCAGCCACCAGTGTCAGTGCCAGGGGGGCCCCAAAGTGGGGATGTCCCCAAGCCGCAGCCCCCAGGAGCTCTAGGTGAAGCCCCCCAGGATCGCCAGGGTCATCCCATAATAAACCAGTTAAACCTCCTGCTCTGTGTCTTGGCTTAAATACGTATTTTGGGTGTCCTGCATCCTCTTTGTGGGGTGGCCAAGGGGCTGGAAAAACCAATAAGGGGCTGGGGGGAGGGAGGGGCAATTTTGGGGGAAATCAGCCCAAACCACCTCTGGGAGGGATGCCAGCAGCATTGGCCAGCGGGGCTGGGAGCACACGATGGGTTACAGTGCACCATCAGCGTTAATTAATTGCCAAAGAACTTCCTGCACCCACTCTTGAAAATCCTCCCCAGTGTTTTTTTTTGAGGGGGTTAATCTCTGAATTTGCCTCACCCCTTTCCAATAAAGACCCCTAAAAAGCTGATTTTTGAGGTGGGATGACCCAAAAATGCTGCCTGTAAGGCACGGAAAGAGGGGTGGGGTAGGGAAAATCAGTGACGAATGCAGATCTCCTTTAATAGAAAACAGTGTTAACAAACATACACAACAGAAAGAAACGACCAACACCTGCAGATCGACAGCCGCTGGTCCCCGGCCGCAGTGTCAGTGCCGCCGCCCCCCCAGCCACCCCTGGGGCCCGGCCCCGCGCACGCACACCCCT